CAGGAATCTTGGTTGTCATCTCCCAATCTTGGACACACTGAGCACATCCAAAGACCACAGTCTTCTACAAAAACACCCTGTGAAAGCCCAAGAAATGGTGGTATTTGCCACTATTTCTTTCAGTTTCCACCATTCCACTGACGGTTTGTGGAAGAAGATAAACGCCTTTCCTTTGGGTTCTCCCCCAAGACTCTGTTCATCTTAGGTCCAGCTTAAATGTCACTTTCGTAAAGACATCCTCCCTGATTCCCTAGCCTTACTGTTCTTTTCTTGTGCTTTCTACACCTTTTCAGATTCTCAAATCAATATAAATTATGAAGCTCTCCAATGCACGAAGCCCAGGGAAACAAGGTTATGATCAGAGGCTGGGCGACAAGGTGCCAACACTAGTCCAGGGGTTTGGATGTGCCTTCACCGGCCAGGTTTTGGGGGACAGTCACCCACTTAAGGCACTTGGGGGTACTTCCATGGGACTGGCCACCACGGAGGCAATGACAGGCCCCGGGCTCTGCAGTCATCTTCAAGGAACCTGCATGAGTTGGGGTAAGTGCAGAGGAACATTCAGCGTTCCAGGGGCACCGTCACAGGTCCGCGACGTCATCACGTGCCGGAACTCCGTCACGTGCGTCATGTGCGGGAGACGTAGTCGCGGCGTCCGGGGCTCGTTCGAGCCGTCCTTGCTGCCAATAGCGGACGCCTCAGGGGCCTCATGGCTGCATCGTTGTCCTGCCTCAGCGCTGGGCCTGCAGCCTCGAGGCCCTCGGGCCTGAGCTGCCACCTCCTGGTGCTGCTGCTGCTGAACTCCGGTGAGGCGGCGCCTCCTCTGCGCCGCTCCCGTTCTGGGTCGTTCTTCCCCGACGCCGCCACGCCCCCCAAAACCCACACTCGAGGCCGGGACAGGCCCCGCGGCGCCCACCCGCAGCCCCTTCTCCTCTGCTACCCATCCGGGCATCTCCCAGGGTGGTTCCGGGGATCCCAGACTCCCGCACTCTCAGCTTCCGCCCTGAGACCTGCCTGCCCTGTAGCCTCCTGGGGCCTTGTGGTGTGGGGGGCACCCCTGCGTTTCCTCCTGGAGGCGTGGATGTCGCGGCTGAGACCCGAACCACCCTCTTGACGGCATCCTCAGGCCTGTCACGCTCTACACCCCCAGCCCAGCCTCGCTCATCTTCCCACGCAGCAGGGCACTGCTGGAGACCCCGCTCCAGGCAGGCGGTCCGGGCCAAACGCATGGTCTCCAAACACTTAAACGAATGTTCCTCACCTCACTTGCTTCCCAGACCCTCAGCTCCTACCGAGGGTGCCTCACTAGCAGCGGCTTCCTTCCCTCAGGAAACGCATGCCCTCAGGTGCTGTCCCCTTGACTCCCTCAGCCCGGGGGCCCCTCCAAACCTGACAGCTCAGTGCCACCCGCTCCCCTTTCCTTAGGAATCAGAGACAGGCCTCCTGTTCAAGGTCAGGCTGCTCACCCCTTCCTGTGCTCTCATCGATCTCTATCCTCTCCCTTTCTATTTGCTGTGTTTCTTCACCCTACCTCTTCCCCTCGCTGCCACATTTCTCTAAGTTTTCACTTCATGTTTCCTTCAGGTGCTTCCTCACTTTTCACTTAACCCTTAGCCCATTCCTGGCATGTCTCTGTCCTAACGTCCCTAACCTTTCTGCTCCTCCCTCTTTTTTCATTTTCTCTAGTCCCTTGGCTTCTCTCAGGCCATGCCTCCTAATTCTCCTCTACCTCAGGGTGACTCCCTTGCCCTTCTGTGTCCCTCCCGGGCCAGCCGTGCTCTGTTCATCCCTGACGTATTGGTGTTCCCTAAGATGCTGTCTGGCTTCCTTCTTCACTGCTCCCTGGGTGAACTCACTTGCTCTGGGCATTGAGCTGTCATGTATGTGATGCTGCCTCACAAAACAATGTGCATGGATGTGCAGCCACCTACTGGACATCTGTACCTGGATGACCTAGAACCATCTCAACTCCTTGGGCTCCAGAGTTGAGGCCCTCTTCTTCCTATAAACTGGGTTCTCTTACGCAGTGGATAGTAGTCACTCTTCTCTAAAATCAGAAACTGGGAGGTCATCCTAGACTCAGCCTTCTCCCTCAGTCCCACATCCAGCTCACCAAGTCTTTTCTCACTGCCACTTCTTCATTCAGCCCTCATTTCTTGCCTGGGTTCTGCAGAGCCTATGGTGGGATCTTACTGTGTTCAGTCTTGTTACCTTCCTATCTATTCTCCATACTGCCTTCACAATACAAGTCTGACCATGTCACACCTCCATTGGCCTCCCTCGTCCCAGAGTGTCTCACTCAGGCTTCTTGGCCTGGCTTATGAAGGCACTTGTGATTGACCCCTTACTTTCTTCCCCTGGCATCATTTCTTGTCATCGTGGGCCTTGCCCTTTATCCTCTGGAGTCTCCAGCTTACACCATGGTGTTTCTTTCATAAAGAATGTCGTCACTTTTCATTTCTGTTTTACCTTCTCATCTTTAAGATCTGGCACAATAACCCCTCTTCCTAGAAGCCTCCCTGTCCACCACTTCTGGGCTTACCTGACACCTGTGGCCTTGTCCCGGCATTGATCACACATGGGTGATTGTGTGTTTACTTATGTCTCCTCTGCTGGGCAACCTGCTCCTCAAGGGCAAATACAGGATGTATCTGTCTGATACACCTCTGTACACCCCTGCTCCCTGCCCCCAGCCCCCTGACCTTGGGCTCCAGGCTGGGAACAGAGTGGGAGGTGGGGAAATATTTGGTGAATGAATGAATTAACTAATTAATGAAGAATGCACCTCTTCACTGTCATCCTGTTACAACCTCTTACTTCATCTCTGTCCCCCTTTCTCCTCCAGGTTACAAAGGAGACAACACCAAACCAGGTGGGTAAGGTGAGCCCCTGCTTCAAGAAAACCTTGGATCCTGGGAGGGTATGTTCTGAAGAGGGTCACAGAGATAATGTTTCTGGGTCTATAGGAAGCAGAAATTCAGTCTAAATGGCCTGCCTTCTAAAGAACAGCCTGTGCTGTTCAGGATGTACAGACTCAACAGTGCACATTAAAAGAGTATTTGGGCCTCCTGTGGGAATGCAGAATCTCTTCAAGTTCAACCCAGGCTGCATCCCATCAGGGAACATGTCCAGGAAGCTGATGCAGATCATTTTCCACACAGAAACATTTTGAGCTCTAAACTGTTCATTTGCAAATGGAGCCTCTTGGGCCCTGTGGCAGTGTCTGCAGAGCCTGGCTCTTCTGGGGTCTTCCTGCCATTTTCCTTAGACCTCAGGGGTAGAGGGTTGGGTTGCTCCTGCTTGTTTGCGGGCTTCCTTTGTCACAGGTGCACCCTAATTTGTTATGGATTGTTTGGTTGAGTAAGTTAGTTATTTCTGCTTGTGTCCATGCCCCACCCCTATTCCCCCTCTTCACTCTTTTCCCAGCCTTTCTTGTATATTTGATGTGTATCTTTCTGTTTGTGTGTGTTTCTGTAAAAATACATATTGTGGTTTTGTGTGCACGTATTTCTAACTTACGCAGATAGAATGTTCTCTAGATCTCTTTCTGTTTCCTCCTCTTTTCATTCAGTCCCATTTAAAAAAACATTTTATTTGGAAATAATTTTAAACTTACAAAAAAGACTGCAAAAATAGTACAAGGAACACACACACACAAAATTTTTTTTTCAGAATCAGTTGAGGGTAACATACAGCATGGCTCTTTAAATACTCTGGTGTGTGTTTTCTAAGAATATTCTCTTAGATAACCACAGTACAAGTTAGCAGTTTCAAAAATTTACATTGATAGCATATTTTAATCTATTACCCATATTCCAATTGAGTCAGCCCTCTGCATTCCTACCAGCAGTTTGTGAAGGTGTATATATCGCTACAGACCTCCCACCCCTTGGCATGATCCAGCTTTTACATTTTTTGCCTATGTAATAGACAAAAAAGTGACTTCTTAGTTTTTTTTTTCCCCCCACTTGAGGATTTTGTTTATTGTTTTCATAATTACTAAACATGCTAAAATCACATAGAGTGGCTGTTCCACTTCTGCTGTGACTCCACAGTGGGGCAGGTGGGAACTACAAGGGTCACTTGGTTTTTGTGGCCTCTGGGGGTGGCTAGGCGTGAGGAGTTAGAGGTAGGCAGGTTAACAAAGCCCCAAGCCTCCTTCACATAGTGCACCTTTACCAGCAGTAACTGGTGTCCTTAGAGATCTCCTCCTCCTTCATTTTTCTTTTCTTCCCAAACCAACTGACGATTTCCTTCCCAAATCTTCCCATTTCCCTGCCTGTGGCCCCTTGAACCTCTTCCACTTCTGCCCCTTACGGTTCTAGACTAGACGATGAAGGAAACTTTTCCTTGTCTCTATCAGTCCCAGTCTCCCTTCCTTGGAACTAATCTACTGAGCATGCACTGACATGGGAGCAGTTTGATTTAGGTCTGCCCAGGGGAAAGGGAGGCTCCAGTCCCCACCGTGGCTTCGCTCATAGGAGGGAAGTTGAGGTCCTAATGAGAAGGATGTGAAGGTAAAAAAATTCTACCTGAAGTGTGAATGTTGTAACCAGTGGAACAGGGCATATGCCCCACCCTCGGGCACCCTACTCTGAAGGCTTTTCCCTCCCTCCCACATTGTCAGGGGTCCCTCTCTCAACCTCAGATCCTCTTGCTCTTCAACCTCATAGGGCAGGCACAGGTACTGATCAAGGAGCTGTATCCCAAGGAGAAAATGTTCCACCCTTAAGCAAGTGGCTGCCTGTTGAATTCTTCATCTTCCCTGTGTTCCTTGTGCCTCTGCAGCTGCGATGGCTTGAGGGGCCAGAGAAAATAATGTATAAGTGTTGAACTTGCCTCAACGAGAAGCTTGAGGGGCAAAGAGACGAAGATACATGGGAGTCAGAGCTGTGGAGAAGGGGAGGGAAGGGAGCAAGGTGAAGGGTAAGGCTGGTTATTCAGGAACTGGGATCCTTTTTCTTTTTCTGGAATCGCCGGAACTTGCCCTGAATAGCAAGGGCAGCCTTCTCTGTTTCTGGTGCCTTCAGATCAATGTCAGTCTCCTCTTCCTCTTCAGCCTTCTTGGCATTGCCAGCTCTCCCCTTTTCCTCTGGGCCAGCTGCCTGGTTGGTTGCTGGGGATGTTTTGGTGTTAAGCTCCTTCCAGGGCATTTATCAGCACTCAGATGATGTCTTGTCCTTCCATTTGAGCTTTAGATCCCATTCCCCTTTTCTCCTCCTCAGGAATCTTCACAATCAATTCTCTTGACTTGCTTATAAATAAAACGTCTTCCTTTTTCACTCAGTATGATAATCTCCAGGTCCATCCATGTTGCTGCAAATGGCATTATCTCATTCTTTTTAATGGCTGAGTAATATTCCATTGTATATATGTACCACATCTTTATCCATTCATCTGTCGATGGACATTTAGGTTGCTTCCCTGCCTTGGCTATTGTATACAGCGCTGGTTTCAGGACTTAATGAAGCTCAGGTTCTTGATGTCTCATCACAGAAAGAATTCAGTGAGAGACAAAGTGATAGGTAAGAAGTGGATTTATTTAGAGAGAAACACACTCCCCAGACAGAGTGTGGGCCATCTCAGAAGGTGAGAAAAGGCCGACTTCTTAGTTTAACTGACATTTTTCTCATTACTAATGAGTTTGAGCATGTCTCAATGTGCTGTTGGCTTCTTGAGTTTCCTCTTCTAATAAATTGACTGTCTTTATCCTTTGCATATTGTCTGTTCTTTTTTCTTGTTGATTTCCTAGAGTTCCTTGTGTATTCCTAATAAAAGTCTTGTATTGATTTTAGATATTGCAAATATTACCTCCTAATCTGTCATCTGATGGCTAACTTTGTTCCTGGGGTCAAAAATCCTTGATTTTGATATAATCAAGTTAATCAGTTTAATGCTTTATGGATTGTGGTTTGAGGTTTTGTTTAAAGAGTCCTTTCCCATCCCATGCCACATGGTTGGCTGTTAACTTTATGGTTTTACCTTTCACGTTTAGGTCTTCAAGTACTACTAGAGAGGAATCCAGTTTTGTTTTTCTTATTTCTTTTATAGTGAGCGAGTTTTCCCAGCACCATCTACTCAACAATCCATCCTTTACTCACTGATTGTGTTGGCTCCTTTATTTACATTAAGTTCCTGTATTCTCTGAAACAACCTCAAGCTCTCTATTCCTTTTTTTTTTTTTTTGGTCCACTTGTCTGTCGTTGTCAATACCACACTGTTTTTGTCACCATGGCTTTGATGTGTGCCTTAATACCTGCTAGGACAAGTGTCCCTTCTTTGCTTTGTCAAAGATGGAACTATTTATGGACCTTTGTTTTTCTATTTCAATTTTAGAGTAAGTTTATCAAATTTCTTAAAAATTCTAACTGGGTGGGCTTCCCTGGTGGCGCAGTGCTTGAGAGTCCGCCTGCCGATGCAGGAGACGCGGGTTCGTGCCCCGTTTCGGGAAGATCCCACATGCTGCGGAGCGGCTGGGCCCGTGAGCCATGGCCACTGAGCCTGCGCGTCCGGAGCCTGTGCTCCGCAAATGGGAGAGGCCACAACAGTGAGAGGCCCGCATAACGCAAGAAAAAAAAAAAAAAAAAAAAAAAAAAAAAAAAAATTCTAACTGGGTAAGTGACTTTATAGATTAGTTTTGGGAAAAATTACATCTGAAATATTTAGTTATTCTATTTAAAAGCAATGGCTCTTTCTCCATTTATGCCAGTCATTTTCAGTGTCCTTTATTAGAGTTTAAAATGTATTACTGCAAAAATCTTGCTTAGTGTTGGATACTTTAATTCCAGGGTATTTTATAATTTCTAGCTATAAACTGTATCTTATTTTGAATATAGTTGTGCTATACTCAGGTTGGTTGGCATAGAGAAATATTATTGATTTCAAAAGTCAGTTACTGAGGTATTATATACATACACAAAAAAAGTGCACAAATTATGTGTCCAGCTCAAGAAATTATCACACAGTGAACATACCTGTGCAGTCTCCACCGAGGTCAGAGAGTAGAGCAGTACCAGCACCCAGAAGCTCTCTTATGTCGTCCCAGTTACTTCCTTTGTCCTCCTCCCACAAAGTTTCATTATTCCTGGCTTCAGAAAGTATAAAATTTTGGCCTGTTTCTTAATGTTATATGATGTTTGCTGTAGGTTTGTGGCATATAACTTGTATAAATAAGTATTTTCTTTCTGTTCCCAGTTTGCTAAGAGTGTTTTGTTTTTTAGTCGTAAATCTGTGTTGAATTTTTCAAATGCCTTTTTCTGTGTCTATTGAGAAAAGCACAGTTCTTTTAGAGAAAAATAACTGTTTATGTGGGGAATACACAGAGACCGCGCCCATTGTGGGACCACCCTTGTACCCCAGGACAAACTCTACATGATCATGGTGCATAATTAAAAAAAATATAATATTGGCTAATATTTTATTTACAATTTCTGCATCTGTGTTCATATTCATGCAGTCATACAACTTGATTGTTGGAACTACTTGCAAACTGATAGTGTGTAAGCTGTTACACAGAGTGGGAGGCCTCTGTTGGCTCCATGCTGGGACTTTTTCTTGAATGGTCTGTGTAAAGACTTCTGACATAGAAGTCTGGAGCTTTTCTTGACTCTGAGTAGTGTGGGGACAGAGGCCTTTTGCATCTAAGAGATGCAGAAAGCTTTATAGCCTTTCAGGAACGTGGCCTAGGGACTTACCCTGACACAAGAAAATACATTTCCTGTCCTGGGGCTCCTTCTATGCTTCTCCCTTGTTTTGAGGTTCTGTGCTGCTTGCTCCCTGTGTGTCTCAGTATCTCTCTCCTCCTCCTGTCATATCTCTGTGTTTCTGTCTTGATGCTTTTTATCTGTCATTGTCATTTTCTGTCAGCTCAGTGCCTTTGGGCAGGCCACTGCTCTTCTCTCACCTTCAGTCTCCCCTTCTTTGAAATGGAAGCAAGTCCCCAAGTTTACAGCCTCGTGCGAATTACCCTGGAGGGCATCTTGGTCACAGTCATTCTTATCCTCCTCTATGCGGCCACTGTATCTCCCTGTCACGCTTGTTCCTGAAGCTTGTGGCAAACCCTGGTGGCCGAAGAATTTGGACGTGACACGCCATTGGCCCTGGGAGGTGAGCCTCCAAGTGGAAAATGAGCATGTATGTGGAGGGGCCCTCATTGATCTCGACTGGGTAGTGACTGCTGCCCACTGCATTCGAGGGTGAATGTGGCCCACGGAGACCCAGGGCTGCAGCGGGCCCAGCCTAGACTCCTCATTTCCTCTATGAAACAACGTGGCAGTGGGGGATGTGGGGCGGAGTGGGAAGGGATGTCCAGAACAGGGAAGAATCATGATCTCACAGCGGCCGGGGTCTGAGCTTGGGCAGGAGCCCCAAGCAACAAAGACTGTATCCTGACCAGGGCAACAGCGTACACCCCGTATACACCCCACCCCTCACACACATTAGAACATGCGTGCATGCTAATAGCTGCACACTCAAATACACAGCACATAGACCAGGCCACTTGAATCAGCTTGACTGATGAATGAGGAGGCAGTCATATCTCTGACTCCGAGGGCCCCCTGGCTGGATGAGCAAGATGGTGTGAGCAGGGCAAATCAGGCAGGACTTCTGCTAAGGGGAACGTCCTTGGTGGAGGTAGGAGCATAGTGTTGCTTGAGAACCTGACATCTACCAGGTGGGGCTCTGTGTCTCCTGTAGCACAAAAGAGTATTCAGTGATTCTTGGCACCTCCAAGCTAAAGCCCACGGACTCCACGAGGGCCCTCTTGATCCCTGTGAGGGACATCATTATGCACCCCAAGTACTGGGGCCAGAAATTCATCACGGGTGATGTTGCCCTCCTCCAGCTTCACACTCCTGTCGTCGTCAGCAAGTGCGTGCAGCCCATCTGCCTTCCAGAGCCCAGTTACAACCTGAAGGTTGGGACGCAGTGCTGGGTGACTGGCTGGGGCCAGGTTAAACAGCGCTTCTCAGGTGAGGAGGATGGGGTCGGGGTGACATGTGGTACCCCAGAGGGTACACTCCTTTCCTCTGGGGCCTCTCCTGATGAGCCCCCTTATGGTGCCTCTCAGGAAGCTTGTGGCTGTTACCTCTGGCCCCTGGTTCTTTGGATGTGTTAGGATTGCTCCTCACATGGGAACTGTTGCCATCGTTTACACCATTGCATGTGCTATGGGCACTTCATTTAGTCCTAGGAAAACCTGATCATTTGCCTCTTACGGAAGCTCAGAGTCAGGGATTCATAAATTCACTTACTCACTGATTTGTTCACCTGAGAAACTTCGATGTTCAGGCATCTGCCACATGCCCAACCCTTGTCACTGGTAATGCATGCCCTGCCTCTAGGGAACTCATAACTGAGTATGGGTGGAAGCACAGATTAACAAGGAAAGAGGCAAAGACTTTGTCAGGTGATCTTGAGAGCAAGTCGGGAGGGATCTGGAATGAGCTCTGGCAGAGAGTCTGCCTGAGATGCCTGAAGGAAGAGCGAATGTCATTCAGGTGGCAGAGGGCACGGCCAGTATAGAGTTCAGAGGCTGGAGAGAAGGAGCATGGGGGTGGGCTCTCAATTTCTGAGTGGTTGCATTGAAACTTGGATTGTAGCCTGCTTGGTTCAGGAGCAAAAGATTCCCAGAGAAAGGGATCCTGAAATAGAGCCTTAGAGGGCAAGGTGCTTGCCCGACATGGTCCACACCACAGGGGGAAGGGCCAAGTGAAGGAGGGCATGGAGGTGTGAAGGGGTGTGGCTGAGTCTTGAGGATGGAGGTGACAAGACCCTGGGAATAGGCAGGGCTGAGTAGAGTGAGGAGTCAGTTCTCACCCCACTGGACTCCTCCATAGCCACCTCCACACTGACCCCAGAGTTGCGGGAGGCCGAGGTGTTTATCATGGATAACAAGATGTGTGACCAGATTTACCACAAGAAGTCCCTCATCCCCCTCGTTGTCCCCCTTGTCCTGGGGGACATGATCTGTGCCACCAATTATGGAGAAAACTTGTGCTATGTGAGTTTCTGGGAGGTTCTGGCAGCTCTCCTTCGGTTGGGATGACCCCAGGTGGGGGGCATTTCCCCAAGGGGAGGTTTGCTTGGCCTCCCTCTTTGTCACCATCATCAGGTAGTGCTCTGCTCCCATCTTCCTTCCCCGTGACTTTGATTTTGCCTGATATTCTGGTATGGGATCCCCAACTGAGGAGTGAAGGAGGACTCCAGGTAGTGAGATCCTCAAGGAATGAAAGAAGCTTCCAAGCAGAACTCAGAGGGTGGGCATTCTGGGTCCCCCAATCCCTTGGGTCCAGAGCCTCCATCACTCCTCTCTCTTTGCCTAGGGGGACTCTGGGGGTCCGTTGGCTTGTGAAGTCAAGGGCAGATGGATTCTTGCTGGGGTGTTGTCCTGGGAAAAGGCCTGAGCCCAAGTACGTAATCCAGGAGTGTACACCCGTATCATCAAATACAGCAAATGGATCAAGAAGCAAATAAGCAATGGGGTTCTCTCAGTCCCCTGCACCTCCTCCTGGCTCCTACTCCTGTCCTGGCTGCTGCAGCCCCAGATGGGCCCCTGATCTCCCTTCTCCTTTCTTCTCTGTGCTTTGCCTTTGCCAAATGGGGCCAGATCAAGGTTAGACCAAGGTCATGGGTCTGTATTCAACAAGGGTCAAGGTGGGAAAAGAGTGGCCCCTGGGAGACTGGGTCCTGCTTTGACCTCCTAGTGGGGAGGATGTGGTGGATGACTAGGCCTTGAGTGACCAGGAGAAGGGAAGTGTGGCCTAGAAGGGCTTTGGAATTGGGGACCAGGATAGCAGAGATTAAATCTGTGCAAACATGAGCTGGCTCTGTTCTCTTTTCTGGGTGACCCTGGGAGTTGGGGGTTGGTGCGTGGGTAAGGCCTCCTGGAATTAATTCTGCCAGGAGGCTCCCCAGAGTGGGGACTGATGGTTTTTGCTATATCACTTGTGCTGGGGCTTTGGGAAAGGGCCTGGGCCTGAGGCATCAGTTTCCTCAACTGTAAATTGGGCATGCTGTGAGAGAGCAGTTGAGACATGCACTGTAGGTGACAGTAGGAAGGACCCACATATCGTGCTCCAAAATCAGCTTTCTTTTTTTTTTTAAATGGCATTAAAAAAAAAAACTGATTATAAAAGTTCCCCTCCTACATTTT